CAATTAAATTATACTTCAAAGCACTGTCACTTCCTTTTACCCTTCAGCTTTCATTGGACTTAATTCCCACATAAGGAAATAGAGTCTCAGAGATGTGGTGGGGAGACACTGTCGTCACTCAGACACCCACTGCATGTAAACATGAACACAGAAGCTTTGACATGGCAGGCAGGTTGGGGGAATGGAGAGTTTGTAGAGGCAAAAGTATACTGCTTGACACCTATGACAAGAGGCGTGTCTGAAGTGTCTAACCCCTGGGTCTGTGGGTCCCTGCAGTTGTCACAGGCACTGCACCCCCTTGTCCCGCCCTCAGGGAGAATGCCTCATTCTGAAATGCCCGGAGGCCAGGCAGCAGAGTTTGGGTCATTTCCTTTTCTGCTTAAAAGCACTCCAAGGTCCCTGCCAACCTTTCTGCATTTGGTCTCTTTACTGTCTCCTGCCTCGTGCTGTGCCAGGTCCCCACTCAGGACGTGGACTCTCACCCTTCGCCTCCCATCACCCATCCTGGCCCTCAACGCAGCCCCAGGATGCCACGCCCTCCCTGGCCCTGGGATTCTGCAGACCTCAGTCCTTGGGAGAGGACTAACCTCATCCTCCTTGTCTTCATGGAGCTGGGCCCTGTACCTCCACAGGTCTCCCCTTCGCGGTCACTGCCTCTGGGTAGCCCCTGTTGACTGAAAAAAAATGCTCAAGGTGAGAGTTGTGAGCTGTGTTATTTGGGGCAAAATTAGGACAATAGCCCGGGAGACAGCACTTCAGATAGCTCTGAGAAACCGCTCCAGAGAAGTAGGGGAAGGTCAGTGTTATAAAGTGTTGCAGTGAAGGCAGTATGTGCAGTCAAGCACACCTTCTGGCAGCGGCTTGCTGCTCATCACGAGGAGCGGAACAGCTATCTGAAGACCTGTTCTGCCAGTTTTCCCCAGAACAGAGTGCCTCCTTCCTCATCTCCATCCTGATCTCCTTTCAGGGGGTGTTGAAGGTCAACAGCTGTAGCGGTCTGTGACTTAGTCCTTATAGAGGCAGATGACACGTGCCTATTTTTAGTTGGCACCCCTAAGCCCTGGCTAGGAAAGGTGACTGGCCCTGTCCTGTGACACCCATGTCCTCTGTCCCAGATCCCATCTCACTGGCGGTGACTGCCACGGTGTGTTTACATTCCTGATGTGAACTCTTCCTGCACAGGTGGCATCTTTATTCCATCCTTGTGAATGTGGAGGTGAAGGGCGGGGTGGGGGGGAAGGGGGAAGAGAGACAAAGGGAGAACCAGGGAGACAGAGTGAGTCAGGGAGGGAGAAAATGAGAGGGTAACATAGAAGATGGAGGAACAGGTTGGTCCGATGGACTTTCTAGATACGAGAAGAGTCAGACGGTGACCTGGGCAAGAAGCAGTGTGTTAAATGAAAACAAACAAAAAGGGTATCAGCAGAGAGATGGAGTAGGACAGAATAGGAAGAGAGTAAAAGAATGATAGATCTCAAATTCATTACAGTGTTTTAAAAATTATTTCTCTTAAATTTATTGTGTCACTTTCAGATTATATGTCAATCATTTTCCACTCTTTATTGTATGCTGAAAATATTCTTTTGAGCTTACTAAATATTATTCTATTTCAATATGCACTTGGTAAGCATATCGACAAAACTTTTTTTTGTATTAACAGTCAAAATCTTGTTTAACCAATTTGTCTAATAATAATTTTCATGAATTCCCTTATGCGATCTTTTAACTTAGTGGTCTGTAAACTAAAGTTTCCCACTAAGTCTATAAGCGCTCTTTATCCTTTCTTTGTAAATGTTCAAGGACTGACTGAATTGTACCTGAATTTTGTTCCAACAACGCCCATCTGTTCAGGATGAATACACTGCATAGAGGTGTTTACATAGCTGGCTTTCCTTCATGATTTCCAGTGATGGTAATTTGCTCTTAATTGTATATTTTCTGATAGTTTAATGTAATGCTCTAGAAAAGAGATGTTAAATACTTGAGATAATTATGATTAAAACCATAGAAGAGAAGTTACTCTTGTTTGAGAGTATGAAATATGGTCTATAATCTTTAGATGTAGGAGTGATAAAGTAAACCTTACCCTATTCCATTCAGGCTACATTATTCCTCTGAGGCTAGTGGTTTCTACATTCTACTGGCTTCTCCCACTGACTTGCTTGCCTGTTCAACACATGCACAGAGTTCCTGGTCAGTTGGGTAGGGGAGGGCCAAGACTTTTAAAACTAAGCATAGAATATAAATATCTCTCCCATTTGGAGGGGACATGTGGCTATGTGAACTGAGCTTGGAGAATGAAAAGAAGAATGCCATAGGGGATGAAGGAGCTAGGAATGGGTGGGACACTGGGAAGCTTAGAATTAGGATAAATGAAAATCTTTGCCCATCCTTTCCTGGATATCCTATGTTCACCAGGTACTAGAAGTGTCTTCAATGTCTCCAACTTCAAGGGTAGGTCAGTCCCTCCCACACACCCACTGCTACCAAGAAATATGTGGGTTTCATCAGGATAGGAGGACTTTCTGAAGGATGGGAAAACCAAACTGCAGGCTCCACGTAGTTTACTGACCCTGAATTCCCAGTGTTTTAGTAGACAGCAGACTGTCATATCCACAAGTGAATTCCTCTTTATCTGTATGGTTGTGTCACAGGAAGTGGGTATGATGAAAGGCATATTTTCAAACACCCAGGAGTGACTTAGATCTTGCCTTAGAAAGCTTGTTTGAAATGAGGAGACAGGAATGCTTCTTAGGAATCATACTCTCTGTTGGTTGTTACCTTCTCTTCCTAAAACACTTTTTTTTTCTCCAGGACCTGCTAATCTCTCTCATGTATCTTACCAACACATTTTCTCAGTCACTCATGGCTTTCCCTGAGCCCTCTTCCATCTCAGGATAGGTTCCATCTTACCATGACTTGTGAACTGGCTCCATTTGGGGAATAATCATAGGAAGGACTTCACACTCAGATGTGACCTGAGTGGGGAATGAGCACTATAGTTTAAATGAGGTAGCACAGCAGGGTTCACATCTGGATGCACTGTCAATTATCTATGGATAAAGTATTAAAGGAACTGCAAACTTTTTATTAATCTGCAGGAATAGCTGGAAAACAAGATTGATAATGGAAAACTTGATCTACCTAAATTTATAACACATCCCACCCTTAACAATGTGAATCAGTGTGCATTTGGCCACAAAATATTGTTTAGAATAAAATGGAGAATTCAGAAACTGGTAACAGTGAAAATTAAGACTGTATTTTATCCACATGATGGGGTGGGTTTTATTCCCTGCTTTTTAAAAATTCAATCAACCTAAATGTCTAAAAAACTCACACTACATCTATCCTAAGGAGACCTTGATGTTCCTTGATTTGTAAAAAAATTTTTTGTGGCTGTTTCTGAGCATAATGACTTATCTGCAGATGTCAGTGTTCCCCTGATTTGGGCAAGTTGGAGTTTGGTTGCTGGTTGAAGTTATGGTGCATTCATATTTTGACAGATTTTGGCAAGCTACCCCCTACCTAAAGCTGCAATGATATCCTCACCCATAACCAGAATGTGGGCTTTTCACTCAGCTTTAAATAGGACTTGATACTACATTATTTTTTATGTATGTGGAAAAATGAGTATTGTTTCTTTCCACATCACTGATTACTGAATAAAATTTATCAATGCATTTTATTTCACAGACATGTACACGTAACTTAAATTTCTTAGCCAATTTTTCATGTAATTTTACATACTGTTTTATATTCTCTAGTTTTATTGTGCACACAGACTTATACATGTACACATGCCTGCACTTTGATCCATTTTAGTTATAATTTTTATATGATAAAATATAAATATTTCCTTCATGTTGTCTCCTTTTATTTTGGAAGACCTCCTCTATTCCATCGTTATAAAATATTTTGTGCACTTAGTCTTGGTATATATTATATAACATATTTACAAATGTTACATCCTCTTCATGAACTCAGTTTTTGAATTAGTCCATTTTGTCTGATAAAAGTGTAGCTATCTCTGCTTTTATGATTTCCATTTATGTGGAATATGTTTTCCCATTCCTTCACTTTGAGTCCATATGTATCCCCCAGAAAAACATGGGAGAAATGAATTATAAGCATCTGTATTCTCAGTTTTGCCACCTGTGAAACACGGATATTAGTCATGTTCAAATGAGTACCAAGAACCAGCCCTTCTGTTACCCTGGCAGCAGAGAAGCTCCAACTTTTTCTCTCTTAGCCTTCTGTATTTGTATATGGGAGGGGCTGGGACTCATGGGTATCATTCCCAGTTGGTGATTTGTAGATTCATGGCTGTTGTGACAGAGGAATATGGGCAAGATCAGATTATCTTGGCTTCTTTCTGCTCTCCCAGCTTTCTGGGTGTTTTATGAATCACTAGGAGGGGCAGTACTTTGTCACTACATGAATAAGTGTAAACATATTAGGCATTCCAGAAATGGGATATTCCAAATGTCTTCAATCTCCTTCATGTACTAATTTATTTCCACTTATTTCTTTTTTTATCAGTTACCCGACACTGAATCTTCTCATGAATGCTAAGGGTGGTAAGTTAAACGAGAGTGCACAGTGATTACAGGTCTAGAATTTCTCTCTTGTGCAGTTTACTTATTTATTTAAAGGATAATCTGTAACTCAAGGCATTTCCACACTGATTACAGACATAGAATTTCTCTGACATGTGATTTATCCATTTAGTTTAACAGTTACAGCTGAGGATGAAGATTCTCCCACATTCATTCCATTTGCAGTTTCAGTTCTCCCACCTGAGTCCACTGCTAAATGTTTTGTTACATAGGTGACATACATATGGATTCTCTCCATTTTGTATTAACTTTGAGTGGAGTAATAAGAACGAATAAAGGCTCTTATACACTGAATATAAACATAGTATTTCTTTACTGTGGGAGTCCACAATAGTGTTTATACTTTGAAGCTATGGGTGGTAAATCTTCCACATTTACTACCTTTACAGCATGAGTTCTCTCGTGTTGTCTAAGGTTAAAATATTTACTGAAGGCTTTCCCACATAGATAACATTTATGCGGTTTCTCTCCAGTATGAATTCTCTTATGCAATCTAAAGTTATAACTTCTATTGAAGGCTTTACCACATATATTGCATTCATATGGTTTCTCACCAGTGTGAGTTCTTTCATGTCGTCTAAGAACAGAAGAGTGATTGAAGGCTTTCCCACATAGGTGACATTCATATGGTTTTTCTCCAGTGTGAGTTCTCTCATGTCGCTTAAGGACAGAGGAATCAGTGAAGGCTTTCCAACACAGATGACATTCATATGGTTTCTCTCCAGTGTGAGTTCTCTCATGTCGTCTAAGGACGGAAGACTCAGTAAAGGCTTTTCCACATAGGTGACATTCATATGGTTTCTCTCCAGTGTGAGTTCTCTCATGTTTTCTAAGGTGAGAACAATGAGTGAAGGCCTTCCCACATAGATGACATTCATATGGTTTCTCTCCATTGTGAGTTCTCTCATGTTGTCTAAGGTAAGAAGTTTTACTGAATGTCTTCCCACATAGATGGCATCCATATGGTTTCTCTCCAAAGTGAGTTCTCTCATGTTTTCTAAGGTCAGAACAATGAGTGAAGGCTTTCCCACATAAATGACATTCATTTGGTTTCTCTCTAGTGTGAATCATCTCATGTCGCCTAAGGTTATAACTTTTACTGAAGGCTTTCCCACACAGATGACATCCATATAATTTCTCTCCAGTGTGAATTCTTTCATGTTTTCTAAGGTCAGAACAATGAGTAAAGGCTTTCCCACACAGATGACATCCATGTGGTTTCACTCCAGTGTGAATCATCTCATGTCGTCTAAGGTTAGAACTTTTACTGAAGGCTTTCCTACATACATGACATTCAAATGTTTTCTCTCCAGTTTGAGTATTATCGTGCTGCCTAAGGGCAGAACTTTGAATAAAGGCATTCGTACGTTGATGACATTCATATGATTTACTTCTAGCATGAATTTGCTTATGTATATTAAAGAATGACAAGTAACTGATGGCTTTTCCAAAATCTTGGCTGATAAAGGGTTTCTTTCCCACTTTCCCATATTGAGTCAATGTTAAGATTTCAGTAAATTTTTCTCTGAAATCATTGCATTCCAAAAGATCCTCTTGACTGTGAGATCTCTGCTTTTTGAAAGGAAATGAGAGACTGTTACAGGTTTGCCCACATTTATTCATTCCTTCATTCATTCCTCTACATATAAATTCTAGAGTAATCATTCAGTGACAGATTCCAGTTAAAATTGTCCCTATGTTATTTACATAAACATGGGATATTACTCTCTTGCAAGCATAGCTTTTATCTTTTGTAGTAACCCAACTGCAGAGACATCTGTTTATACAGATGTTAAAGACATTATTATGTTTCAGTGATTAGGAATATAAGCCACGATTATATAATTGTCTATATAAGACCTCAAGTTATGGTTTTGACTACAGGTTAATGTTTCTTCCCTAAAACCAAACTAACTAAAATTTTCTCCTGTGGGAGCCCATGATCCCAACTTTAATTAAATCAGGTAAGTGTGCCAAATTCCCAACTTATTCAATTCCTAGGTCTTCATTTGGAAGAACACGTTTACACCCGTGAAGCTTACCATTGCACTGATTACAGATGTGTCCTTCTTGTAGATATGCTGCATGGATATCATTTCCTGTTTTCTCAGATCATCTTCTCTACCTGAAATGACTGGAAAAAAATAAATCTCTATAGTGGTATTAGGAATTAAAATGGTGAAGAGACCCAATGCCCATTTGTGTATGTTTCAAATACTGACACGCAGATGGCAAAGAATGTCAAATTAAGAAATAGTCTGAAGAGAAAAAAACGAAAGAACATCAAATTAAGGAATATTCTGAAGACAAGAAACACATTATAGGACTATAACAATTGTCATTCTCAGGAATGAAATATGAGAAAAATAAAATGAAGATGGTGGGGACTTTCCTGGTGGCCCAGTGGTTAAGAATCTGCCTTCCAACGCAGGGGATGCAGGTTTGATCCCTGGTTGGGGAACTAACATCTCACATGCCACAGGGCAACTAAGCCTGTGTGCTGCAACTACTGAGCCCATGCACTCTAGAGCCCACACCACAACTAAAGAGCCTGGGAGCCACAACTACTGAGCCCATGTGCCACAACTAGAGAAGCCCACACACCACAATGAAGAGCTCATGTGCCACAACGAAGACCCAGGGCAGCCAATAAATAAACAAACAAACAAACACTTAAGAGGAAGAAAAAAAAGAAGATGGCAAGTTGAGGAGGAAAAGAGAAGATCCTATTCATAAAACAGGACCATGAAAAGGGACTTTCTGTGAATGTTTATTAGCTCCAGTGAGTATATAAATTTCACCTTGCCTAAAGCCAAAGACAAATGCAGAAAAACACGTGAATAGAAAATTGATACCTGCAAGGTATGACATCATCTGAAAAATTTTTCTCCTATGATATTGTCTAAATTTTAAAAATATCACTAAACTTAGATATCTTCATGTGATATTTTTTAGGGTCTATTCACTCACTGACCAGGCTCCACCTCCTATTGAAACACAGCCTCTTGGATCTCACCTGGACTCTGGCCTTGCAGAAAACCTAACCCTTCTCTTGAAAGTTGCTCTCCTTGCTCCAAATGGGAAATCACATCTGATTTGTAGAGCTGATTGCCTGTTTGTAGGAGAAAGATATGTGGATTTTGAGTTCTGTGCTCATAACAGTGCATCAGTACAGGGCAGACTAATGAGGAAGAATACAATAACCTCTGAGGGTGAGCACAGAGAACAGTATGTCGAAAACAACATGTATACTCTTTGACCAGCAAAATGATAGCTGTTGAACTTGTTCCCAAGGACATTAAGAACTTATCACAGCTAATGCCCATGCCCAAGTTCAAAGACAGATTGTGGAATCTGCAATATTTTTATTCTACGGTGTTTTAATACTATATCCAAAAAGAATTAAAAAAATACAGCCTCCAAAAACAATCCAATAAATACAACTTCCAATAAATACACCACAAAAATCTAAGTTCTATGTGGAAAACAATATATCTGTTATTTTTAACACTGTGATCTGATCAAACCAGTCCTTGCTGCAAAATATATTTAAAAAAATCAATACATTTACTCACCCATACAAAAATAATTCCCACCACTGTTTGAGCATCAGAGATTGAGTAGCAAGAAAGACACAAAATTATGTTAGGAAGATTATACTGTAGTGGGACTGACTAAATGTAAGTAAGAAGGAAAGAAAACTGTGATAAGGTAGTTGTGAGAGTTATGAAAGGATCAAGACAGAGTTTAGAGTAAGAAATGGGAAGGTTTTTCTGCATACTTGTTGAATGAATGAATACATACATAATAAAGAGTAAGAGACTCACCAACTGAGACCAGATGACTGATGTTCTCTAGCATCACATCTCTGAATAGTTTCCTCTGGGATGTGTCCAGTAGGGCCCACTCTTCCTGGGTGAAGTCTACAGCTACATCCTTGAAGGTCACTGATTCCTAAAATATTATGGACATTGTTTCAGATAGGGCCATCTCTGCCAGGGGAGGATGGTACAGGTGTCAAGCACTAAGGAGGTGGGGGTTGAGTGTACAGCAATCTCAAACGGTATTTTGGGTCCAATCACATCATTCTCAGTGTTGACATGAACATCTGACTTTCGGATATACCGACAGAGACATACACACTCTAGGTACATAAAACTTCATTATAAAGAGATAACACATGATGTGTAGTGTAATATACCCTGGAGATTTCCCAATAAATTTGTGATTATGGCTTCCAGATCATGATTATAACATTTCCACTTGAAAACATATCAAAAACAGTCTTCTCAACCAATTTCAAGCAAATCTTTTAAAGACTTCTCACAAGGGATGAAGTATCCATGATATGCCACTTTTAAAGCACGACTATGGTGGGATTTCCCTGGTGGTGCAGTGGTTAAGAATCTGCCTGCCAATGCAGGGCACACGGGTTTGATTCCTGGTCTGGGAAGATCCCACGTGCTGCAGAGCAACCAAGCCCGTGGGCCACAACTACTGAGCCTGTGCTCTAGAGCCCGCATGCCACAACTAATGAGCCTGCATGCCACAACTACTGAAGCCTGTGCACCTAGAACCCATGCTCTACAACAAGAGTAGCCACTGCAATGAGAAGCCCGCGCACCGCAATGAAGAGTGGCCCCTGCTCGCTGCAACTAGAGAAAGCCCATGTGCAGCAACGAAGATCCAACACAGCCAAAAATATATTTAAAAAAAAAAAAGCATGGCTATGTTTAGATTATTCCCCTTTACGGTCTCAGTTTCTTCATCAGTGAAATGGTTTAATAATCTTCATGAGTTCTGAAAGATCTAATGAGCTAATGTGTAAAGTACTAACTATCTAGCAAATATTTTTTAAATATAACTTTTAGGTTTATTATTCATGAAATGGCAGAGAATACTGAAGCAACATCCAGGATTCTGCACAACTGACTAGAATTCATACAGGTCTTGGGATCAGCAGGTGTAAGCTTTTATCTCTACAAAACTTAGGTGTTCATTATAAAGGATAAATGATTCAGCAGCTCAAACCAGAGGCTCTGGGACTCCCCCCAGCACCTGTAACACTGGATTGACTGACCTCACCTGTGGAAACATCTGACTCTATTGGTTTGTAATGTTTTCCTCCTCACTCATCTTCATCACCAGTATTCACTTCAATCCTAAGTTCATTACAGTTAATAAAGTGGTTAATGACTAATTTTTTTTTTTTTTGCCAACTAGGCCATGGTCTTGATGAGAAAAAGAAAACCTCTCTCATCTCTTCTATGAATACACAGCATTAATAGAGACTGGAATATCTTAGTGTGATGTTGGGAAGGAGTTATCACTTGATGAGTCCTTGATCCAACATGACCATTCCAGAATTCTGGGGAAACTTAACTGAAGCTCAGATCCTTGAAAAATCTCTCTAGTGTGCTTAGAACATGTGTGCCTGTAGGAGAAATATGTCCATATACTGAAAATAGAGATGCAATTTCAGTAGAAAGAGTAATTTCCTACTTACCTGTGATTCCATTGTAACTAGCTCAGCTGCCAGCTGACTTCTGGGTTTTCACTTACACACAGTCCAAGCAACAGGAGGCAAAGCTGAGGAAGAAGAAAAAAGTCATTAGACTCTAGCTGTTCACAACCTCCATATTCACTTACCATGAAGCCCCAATGCTTCACCTGGAAGTAGCCCCCTGGACAACCACAAGAAACATGCAATGTGCTCTAAGAGAAATAGGGCTAGAGCTCTCCTCTATCAGGATCAAACGCAAGAAGGCTATGACTATTGTTGCTAGTAAAGAAGATACAAATACCTTCAATTTAGAGAGCAGAATGTGAAAAACCATTGAGTTTTGTATGCTAATTAAACCCTGGTGTTCAGAACTGTCCAATCCCCTCCGAATTCTGAACCACAGGGATCCCTGATTCATGTCACATGTGTCCCCAACTCTAGTAACCACTGTGGAACTTCTGAGGTTGAATCATTCTTCCTCTGTGCACTAGCAGTTTCTCCAGCTCCGTTCCAGCCCTCTGGTGCCTCAATCCATCCCTACTTTTCCCTTCTTGCCTTTACAATCAAACTAAAAGATGAAGGTGCAGTTGCTGATCCTCACATCCCAGTCACCACTTGACTTATCATACCGATAATATCTGCATAAATAAATCCAACGTATGTGCCTCAGGCTTTTACCTAGAGCTTAATAAAAAGTATAACATGACCTCTTTTTGGGAATATAATTTTTCCTAGGTTTTTCTAACATCTCAGTCTACAGTGTTCAAAGGAATCTTGTCATTCTAACTCCTTATCACTTGCCAAGAACTTTGCAAACAATATTGTTGGAAGATCTCAAGACTCCATCCTACTCCTTCATCCTTCTCTACTTATGTACACTGCCCAGGTATGCCTACATATTTATTCAATTTCTTCAATTTCTTCCATTACTTTTTCTAAATTGAAAGTGACAAAACTCATATCTGAATTCCATTTCTGAGTTTGCTTCTTTTTTTTTTTTTTGAAACTAACATACACTAGAAAGGAAATAGATCTCAGGACATTATCTCCCACTTTCTCCAAATATTACTCTTTATCTAGTCTCTAAACTTTTCAATGTCTCCACCAGACATCCAAGGGTTGACTTTTTTTTTTTTTTTGCGGTACGCGGGCCTCTTACTGTTGTTGCCTCTCCCGTTGTGGAGCACAGGCTCCGGACACATAGGCTCAGCGGCCATGGCTCACAGGCCCAGCCACTCCGTGGCATGTGGGATCTTCCCGGACTGGGGCACGAACTTGTGTCCCCTGCATCAACAGGCAGAATCTCAACCACTGCACCACCAGGGAAGCCCTGGTCTGTTCATATTTTGTATTTCTTCCTGGTTCAGTCTCGGCAGGTTGTGCATTGCTAAGGATTTGTCCATTTCTTCCAGGTTGTCCATTTTATTGGCATAGAATTGCTTGTAGTAATCTCTCATGTGCGCCACTGGGGAAGCCTGGGTTGACATTTTATATGCTCTCTCAGAACATCACAAATACAATTTAGCATTGCTATTACTTCTACACTGTTCACTATTTATTTATTTATTTATTTATTTATTTATTTATTTTTGGCTGTACGCGGGCCTCTCACTGTTGTGGCCTCTCCCGTTGCGGAGCACAGGCTCCGGACGCACAGACTCAGCGGCCATGGCTCACGGGCCCAGCAGCTCCGTGGCATGTGGGATCTTCCCGGACCGGGGCACGAACCCACGTCCCCTGCATCGGCAGGCAGACTCTCAACCACTGCGCCACCAGGGAAGCCCTCTACACTGTTCACTATTAACCTTCATTTCTACTCAAATCCACAAACACAATTTCCTACCCCATATTTATTTCCTTCAATCTGTTTGAACGTCAATTCCTCAGAGATCCTGCCACTGAATTCTTACCAAAATGAACACTTCTCTTCACAAAAAATCATTTACAAAATAAAGAAGGGCTATCCCTCCTGGTGAAAATGATCTCCAGTACTCACCAGAACACAAACAGATGGAAAATCCAGTGAAACCAAATATTTATCGAGGATGCTGACACAACATTCCGGAGTTCAGAGCTTCTTTCTCTTTCTAGAAAATGCATCATTTTGATGGTGAACTCTCTTTTAATGCAGTTGGCAACCTCATCAGTGTTGTAATCCAAAGGACAAATCTGATTAACTTGGGTCCCAATCAAGATAAATGTATCAAGAAATGCCTCTTTAGATAAACCCTGTAGATGAAATTAAGGACAACAAATTATATCCTTTAATTCTGCTTCTTCTAAAAGTCTCAAAAGCAAACTTCATGCCTTTTCTCAGAGACTTCAGGGTTTTATGGATTTTGCTTGTTCTGGGCAGTACTGAGAGTCTGCAGCCAAGAGACCCCTTCCTGCTCTTTATTTTTATTTGTAGGAGGATTTGTAATCTACCATCATTTTCTCAGGCTGTGGACATAAGCGTGACTCTACAGAAGTGTGTCTGTGCTGAATAAATATCTACCAAAGGAAAATATCTTTCGTTTTTACTACCAAGTGAGAAAAAGCTCATCCAGTGTTAGGTCTCTTCAAGTCAGATCTAGCTCATGTCCTAAAAACTGCAAAACCCTACAATCCTCAAAATATTAAGGATTTCCAGAATAAATGATCAGTTTCAGGACTGATTTTATTGTAGACAGAATTTAATTATTTTTATTGTGGTAAAATACACATAACATTTACCATCTTAGTCATTTTTAAGTGTATAGTTCAGTGGTGTTAAATACATTCATAATATTGTGCAACCATCACTGCCATCCATCTCCAACACTCTCTTCATCTTGTAAAACGGAAACTCTGTACCCATTAAACAACTACTCCCTATTCCCCCCTCCTCCCAATGCCTGGAAACCACCATTCTACTTTCTGTCTCTAAATAGGATTTGTTTTGTGGGGTGGGGCTCTGCTGTGGGACTTGCAGGATCTCAGTTCCCCGACCAGGGATTGAACCCGGACCATGGCAGTAAGAGCCTGAATTCTAACCACTAGACCACCAGGGAATTCCCATCTAAGTAGCATATTTTTAAAAACTGATATTAAAAAGGAAATTAAACATTTAAAAATCTTAAAACATTACTTTATAGAAGGATATTATTTCTGAAGGAAAATCAAGCAATATATTTTCATTTTAGATATAGGCATAAGAAATACTTGATCCCATAAGAAATTCTTTGTAATTTTCTTTTTTAAAATTATACTCTTCTGACAGTAAAAAAAGAATTTAGTATGTATTACTTTTTATCAACTATTTGATTTTCATGTATTTCTGAGATGGTCTGTGTCTTTTCAGCCCATTTACTGCAACATATTTGAGGTAAGTGATGATCTCCTTTTGCCATAAATGAATGTTTCATGTCAATCAGAGCCAAGACCATAGCAGGGAGTGAAATCATACTGATGAATAAAGCAGAGAGATCAC